TAATATGAAAATATATTTCATAAGAAATCTAATGAAGAAATTTTGATTTTGTAATTGTTGATATATTTTTATATACATTTGGTCAAACTTAATAATGTTTGACTTAAAATAATCCTAAAATATTAATTATTTTGGAACAGAGAGAGTATATACAAACATGCCCGGCCGCCGGGCGCCGGCGGCGCGGGGCCTTTGCGCGACATCTTAACCAAAGGGACGAGCAATTAAGAATTGTTGCTTAGTGCTCAAGCCATTGGTTAGACTGCAACGTCTGGTAAATTTCTTTGCTCAAACCGGTCAAACGTGGAAAGCCATATTCTTAAACCTCCGACAATGAATATCACGCAACCAAATGCAATAGTAGTACCAACTAAACATAGTGTTGAGTCGTCATACCATATAATAATGAAAAAAAAAGATCCTAGTATCATACCATATATCATATTAAATGTGGTGCTAATATGAATTGTCTAACACAATAAATAAGGTCTTATAAAATATCAACCTATTATACTATGCAATATAGAGATACTATGGTATATTACTATGCATGATATTAACTTATGATGCTGCCCACCACAAAAGGTCTTAAAGAAAACATTCACACTATTCAACACTTAAATCATCATAGCTTTAGGCCATCCAATAACTTGTACGCTTTTGCCAAAAAAATCAGATGTGTTATAAAGATTCACTACAAGAACAAAGCACTTCAAATATAATAAAAAATACATCAAGGTCCACGGACCACCGAGCGACCATTACCGCCGCAAAAACAAGCTGCCGACGTGCCGTTGTCGCTGCTCTCATAACGAAGTTGGCCTGGCCATATCGATGACAGCAGGAAAGTCTTCGTGCACGTGTCTCTAAGGACCAACGCTCTGGAGCCGCAGTTATCCCCGTTGATTCCTTGAATTAATCTAAAGATACTGACACGAAATCACACCATTGTGTACACACAGCGAGAAACCCTAACCTCGCTGCCCCGATGATCTAGCTGGAATCTATGCCGGAGCTCTATCTAATCCGCGAGGTTAGGTACGAAACTTATATAATACAAAAATATGCCTTGTGATGTATGTAATGATACATGTTTGGTATCTAAAATATCCACTTTAGCTACATTTCAGTCAGCTGACTTTTTATTTTGTGGTCAATCAATTTTCTGTTCGTTGGATGCACTTTGAGATGTGTGTTGTTTCATTTTTTTCTGTTTAATTCTGTTGTTGGGTTGGGCTGTGTGGAATCGATTGACCCTATTTTGGGTCAGTCGAATTGCTTCTTGTGCTGTTTTTTTTCTACTGGGTTACGTTTTTGTTTTTCCCTTTTCCCTTTTCTTTATTGGTTATTTTTGGTTTTTGTGGGTTTTTGGCTGAGTGTAATTATATACATGCAAATACTATATAATATGTGACAAATTTATGATTATGATTATTTTTGCATATCACGATAAAGTGCAATTTCGGTGCAAAGTTGTGTGCTAGTTTTTTTTAATTTCTCTCTTCTTAAAGGAAATACCAATGCCACTAATTCATTTCTTTTTAAGAAAAAAATGATATTGTTTGTCTTTACTTCATTTTCATAACAAATGCCACTATTCATTTGTTCTTATATTTTGTTTTTGCAAAAGGTTCACTTTTGTATGCTTATTCTTGCATATTTTAAAAGCGCAATTTTTATGCATATTTCATGCAAATTATGTTAGTGTTTGTTTTAGATTCTGGTTTCCCATTTTCTTTGTTCTTAAATGGTAATAACAATGCCACATATTCATTCTTTCTTTTGTGAGTATTTTTGCTTTATTTTTTTTCCGGTTTTCTGTTTCTATGCATTTTTCTTTTTTATTTCCTTTTATTGGTTATTTTTTGTGTGTTTTAGCTTTTTTTTTGGTTGACTTTTATTTTTTCTTTATGCGTTTTTTTGGATGTTGAGTGTGTGTAAATATATGCACACAAGTACTACATGTATACTTTATGTTAGACTATGGAAATTTCACTACTATATGTTTCTCCTTACATATTATAAAAAGTGAATTTTTTGTATGAATCTTGATGAAATTTTATTTTAAGTTTTTATTTCCCTTTCTCTCTTATTTAAAAGTAATACCAATGACACTAATTCATTCCTTCTTTGAAACTTATTTTCTATGTAAATTCTACTAGTATATGTTAGTTCTTGCATAGCTATAAAAAGTGCAATTTATGTGTAAATTATGTGCAAATTTTATCATGACTTATTTTTTTCATTCTTTTCTTCTTAAAGGGTGGTACCAATGCCACTACTTCATTCTTTTTAGAAAATATTATATTTTTGTGTGTTTAAATAAGTATACACGCAAGTACTGTACAACATGTGTGTAAATTATAGTAGAGTGCCAAATTGCAATATTATATGTTCGTTGCTCGCATATTACTAAAAGTGCAATTTCAGTGCAAAGTTGTGTGCAATTTTTTTCTCTATTTCTTTTTTCTTATAGGGGTTCATTATTCCCTAGAAATTTTTATTATTTTCATTATGTTTTAGTTTTTTTATTTTCTTTCTTCTTAAAGGGTTTCATTCTTCCATAGGAAACTTCATTATTTTGATTTTGAATTTTTTTATTTTCTTTCTTTAGAGGCAATACCGATATCATTCCACTATTATTTTATTTTACAATTTATCAGAATGATTCTAATAATAAGTTGTCTTCTGTGATGATTACTAGACATAAATATGTTAGAAATATGGGTTCCAATAGCCTCTTCTCTTCCTTCAAAATGATAGTCATTTACGATTGTGTTGTTAGGGTTTAGGGTTTGCGCATAGCACATTGTAAAAAATGATATATGTGCATATGTATATTGTATGCACTATGTAATAAAAGGTGGGAGTGCACATATAGTCGGTAACAATTGCACTGCGTATAACACATCGTGTTGTCATTCGGATAATGGCAGTGACAGGTGTTTTGCTTGTGATTAATTTACATGCTAATGGCCGGTGCTTAATAAGATTAGCGGTTGACTGTGCATGCATGTGTCCCACCCAGGGGATCGATCTGTCCAGCGTTGTGTCCCCATTCCAGCTTGGCAAAGATCGACTGAAACAAAATTTGTGATCAGTCGATTGACACAAATTTTGTTTCAGCTGACTGATCTATAGCCACACCCAAAATATCTATATTTTTCTTTACAAACTTGATCAGATTTTGCAAAAGCCATACTTTTACAAAATTATATATGCATTATATTATAGAATGATGTATAAGGGACAAATAATCCACCAAGCGCATGCAGAACTAGTAGTAGCACGACTTCGCTTTTCAGTTTGGCCATCCGACCTTCTCTCCATCATGTTCGCACCCTCCGGTGTCGGTGTAAAGCATGTGAGCTTTTTGAGACGTTGGGATTTTGGATTTGCATGTCTTTTGATTTCTTCTCCAGGGTTCTGATCCGACAGAGTCGTAGCCTTGATGGCTCCCCATCCACGATCAATAATGAGTTGCTAGCCCCGGAGATGGAGAGGCAGCATAGTGATGCTCCACCGACCCACTCTCTTATTTATCTTAGCATGCAACCTATCGACCTAATCACATATGCCCACACATGTCATCTCTTATTTAAATGCACATGCAAGCCATCCACATTATCAAGAGCGTGCAACCAATAAGTGACCAATGTTGTGGCACAATTTTATTAAGTGGCGTTATAGTACCTGGTTAGGTAGGGTTCCCGCCTTCTATTGGTGGCATCGCTGCTCTGCCTCATTTGGCCTTAGACGGTGGGTCCAGGCCTTTGTCGGTGGGAGAGTTCTGTTTGTGTATGTTTCTTTGATTTTTACTAGGGTATGTATCCTGCTCAAGAAGATAACACGGTGGCGTCTCCCTGAAGAAGAAATAAGGTTCTCCCTGACTTGCCCCCGTCTCGGTGATGCATCTAGCATTTTCAGAGGGCGTGTGGAGGTTTGTCTCCGACGAATCTCACATGATTCAGTCGATGATTGTGTTTGGTGGATCTCGGATCCGGTCTTCATTCATCTACGTTGATGTCTTCAGTTTGGATCCTTCCAATCTATGCTTCTTCCATCGCTAAGTGCTTTACGGATCTCAATGTAATATTGATTATTTCTGGTGTTCGTCGTACCGCCACAGTTGATGATGAATAGATTGGAAGTTTTCCTGCCAAAAAAGTGCATACAACCCATCAATGTCTCACTTTCCACTTTTCACCACATGCATACCTTCACATCATCAAGCGTCATGCAACCATTCAACCTTTTATTTTTCACTTTTCACAACATGCAAGCCCTCCACATCATCAAGCACACGAAACATTCTAAAAAAAAGACACATGAAACTATAAAAGCCCTCCACATCATTAATTTTTTTCAACAATAAATTATTGAACTTGAATATCAGAAGAGAAGATAATATGCATCCACCATCCATTTATATGTAGGTTGAATATGATGTGGTACTACTCTCATATATTCTAATTTTATTTTCTACGTTCATTGCTAAAAAATTCCGCAGCAAGGCACGAGACGTTATCTCGTTTTCTTTAGTTTTTAGGAGGTGTCGGAACTGGTAATTTTATCAATAGATCCGAGCCTTCTCGCAAAATAATAGAAATGGATGAAAAAACATGGCTAACACAAAGTTGACTAATCTTTTTTCTGCTTGGGCATCAAAAGTCAACCTGCAATGCAACCACCGAGACAAGTCATCCAGCCTAGATGATGAAGTTGTTGAAGACCAGTTTTTTATCGACAGAAGCATGCGCAGTGCGCAGCCCCCATGGAATATCCTCCAGATGGAGGTTTAGACTTGAGACACAGACATGTACGACAAGAGAGCAATTTGCCTCAATTTTTTTGAAAGTGCAAGACAAACTAATTAAAGTGATATCTCTTGTACCCCTTAACTAGTTCACGAATATGTAGCAGATGGTGATCAACCTAGCTATAGTATAAAGCAAGCTGTAGCAGATGGTGATCCTACAAATTCAAGAGTCGTAAGCGCGATGTCGCCAGGACAAAGAGGAGCGATGGGAATCCCGCTCACGGTTCTCCCTCTAGCCATCCTCCTCCACGTCGCCGGCTGCAGCCCTCCTCCGGAGCCGGTGGTCTGCACGCACGGCACATCCAACTGCACGGTCACCAACTCGTTCGGTTCCTTCCCGGACCGCAGCATCTGCCGTGCGGGCAACGTCGCCTACCCGCGCACGGAACAAGAGCTCGTGGCGGCCGTCGCGGCGGCGGCGGCAGTGAAACGCAAGATGAAGGTGGCCACCAAGTACTCACACAGCCTCCCCAAGCTGGCGTGCCCCGGTGGCCTGGACGGCACCATCATAAGCACGGCGCGGCTCAACCGGACGGTAAGCGTCGACGTGGAGAGGAGGCTTATGACGGTGGAGAGCGGCATGGTCCTCCGGGACCTGATCGAGGCCGCCGGCGCCGCAGGGCTGTCCCTGCCGCACTCGCCGTACTGGTACGGCCTGACCATCGGGGGCCTCCTGTCGACTGGCGCGCACGGCAGCTCGCTGTGGGGCAAGGGCGGCGCCGTCCACGAGTACGTGGTCGGGCTGAGAATCGTGACGCCGGCGCCGGCGAGCCAGGGGTTCGCCGTGGTGAGGGAGCTGGGCGCCCACCACCCTGACCTGGACGCGGCAAAGGTATCCCTCGGGGTTCTCGGCGTCGTCTCTCAGGTCACGCTGGCGCTGCAGCCGCTGTTCAAGCGGTCGGTGGCGTTCGTGAAGCGCGCAAGGTTTTGGTTACCGAATGAGGCAATTTTACCGAGGGGGACGGGTAAACGTGGTTACCACGGTTACCAGGAAATATCGAGAAATACCGAGAATATTTCGAACGAATTTTATAGTTGAATTTTGAATTCAAATAAATGAATGAATGAACATTCGAACCAGAGACCTGTCAACACAGGAACTAGGTTGCTACGAACACGTCAGAATCAATTCTCGTGGCATTAATTAGATTCTACGCACTTCACTACAAATGGAGCATTTGAATTCAAAAATTTCAAAAAAATGGTATTTTTTGCTTGGTATGAGGATTTATCGAGGGGCACGGAAATATGCGGTAACCATGGGAAATCTTGAAATTTCGACGGTAACCAAAACCTTGGAAGCGCGACGACTCAGACCTGGCGGACCAAGTGGCAGCATGGGGCCGCCTCCACGAGTTCGCCGACATGACGTGGCAGCCGGAGCAGCGCAAGGTCATCTACCGCCAGGACGACCGCGTCGACGTCTCGTCGCCGGGCAACGGCCTCAGCGACACGCTCCTTGCCCGGTCCGCCCCCACGCGCATGCTCATCGATGCAAGAGCCGCGGAGGAGCGGCTGCAGGAGAACGGCACCGCCGCCGCCGACCTGTGCGCAGCGGCGCGGCCGCTGGCGGACACGGTGGAGCGGCAGGCCTACGGCTACACAAACGACGGCGTCTCGTTCACGGGGTACCCGGTGGTGGGGTACCAGCACCGCACCCAGGCGTCCGGCACATGCATGGATAGCCCGGAGGACGGTCTCCTGAGCGGCTGCCCTTGGGACCCCCGCATCCGAGGCTCCTTCTACTACAACTCCGGCTTCAGCGTCCCGCTCTCCAAGGCGCCGGCGTTTGTGTCGGACATGCAACGGCTCCGGGACCTCAACCCGGACATCTTCTGCGCCGGCGTCGACACCAGGGTCGGCGTGCTCCTCCGCTATGTCAAGGCGTCCTCCGCTTACCTCGGCAAGCCCGAGGACTGCATCGACTTCGATGTCATCTACTACTGGAGCCGCACCTACGGCATGCCGCGTGCGCACGCCGACGTGGTGGACGAGATCGAGCAGATGGCGCTACGCAAGTACGGTGGCCTCCCGCACTGGGGAAAGAACCGTAACTTCGCATTCAGCGGTGTCATCACAAAGTACCCGGGAGCTGCTAAATTCCTCCGGGTGAAGGACAGGTATGACCCTGACGGGCTCTTCTCGAGCGAGTGGAGCGACCAGGTGCTCGGCATCAACGGAAGCCCCGACATCGTCAAGGAGAGCTGCGCCGTGGAAGGACTCTGCGTCTGCTCTGAAGACTCGCACTGCGCACCCGAGCAAGGGTACTTCTGCCGACCAGGAAGGGTGTACGACGAGGCCAGAGTTTGCTCGTTCCTCCAGGACTAGAGACTCTGAGAAACAAATATGGCCTTAGCCCCCCCCCCCCCCTGCATTGTCTTGGCCTGGGCCCTGAAATCTCAGGACCGGCCCTTACTAGAGACCGTGAATCACTTCAAGTGTTCAGTGTTAACTCTTCACCTCTTGCTTCTCAGGATTCTGCGCAACCAACTGCACAAGAGTGAATTTGTGTAGTTAGAACAAAAACTTTTCATATAATACATATTTGTGATGGGTGTGTGCATCATGCTGATGCAGAGGCCAGGCCAATCCTCCTTCGAAAATAATAATAATAATAATACGTATTTGTTTGACTCTTTATCTATGTATTTGGAAGGATTTTTATTTTTGTCTTTATCAGCTGGAAAAATATGGCACCTTGTTGTGTTGGAATGGCCCATGCTAATTTGTATCTATAGACTTAACATTCGAATATAATTTAGTAACTTCACTAAAGGAAAAATGAAAAAAAAAGGACTGGCTTCATTTTCCATATTACAAAGAAGATTGAAATTTGCAAAATCCATAGCAATTTGAAATTTTCGAAGTCATTGTTACACCTAGTTGAATTTTTTAATATCCAAATGTCGTTATTGTAATATTTGTAATTGACCAATAATAGTGCCCTCAATGCTAGTTCTCTTCTCCGACCTTCAATGTTAATGCTGTGTGCACGTACGTGAGAGAACCATCTGCATGTGGGTGGGCCATGTTGATCGCCGCTTCGCCAGGGTCAACTAGATTAAGCTTGAGACACATAAAAAGGAGATGGACAATTGCCTTGCTCTTGAGGTCCTGTCGTTTCTCTTCTTCTTCCTTCTCTTAGAGGTTAGAGCTTGATCGGATGTGTGTTCGGTCCTTCCCAATGCTTGCTCTGATCGGCGAGCTTATGGTCGAGCTTCAGTGGGTGAGAGTGAGAGAGAGGGAGAGCCTAGAGCAGCACCCAATTCTTCTACGGGACATACTTCTTATATATTTGCAATGTGCACTAGGGAGCCATCTGGTAGGATAAATGTATCCATAAGACCATAACGGGAGAAATCATCGGCGAACATTATGAATGAAGCAATACCATCCACAGATTTTACATTAAATTGACCATATATGTCTGTGTGGATTAATTCTAAAACTCACGTGCTTCGATTCGCTCCTTTCTTAATTTTCTTGGCATGATTTCCTTTTATGCAATCAATGCAATGATCGATGTCTTCATCTAAGAAATCTAAAGGATGAAGCATTTGTTCTTTAATGAGATGCTCAATTTCCCTGTCGAAATATGGCGTAAACGACAGTGCCATAATTTCGAAGAAGTCTCATTATCATTTCGCTTACCTTTGGTACTGACTTCGTATTTGAGGAAGAACCAACATTATGAAACTATGGCTTCACTCTGGTTGTCTAATAAAAAGAACATTGTAGCTAATATGATTGTTGTTGCACCAATGTGGTCCATTTGGAAATTATGCAATGTCATGTTTTTCGGCCACATTAGTGGTATGGTTTGCAGGTCCAATGGCAGCGCTTGCTTTGTTTGCTAAAACTGTGGAAGGGCTCTAATCAATACTGAAGGAGTCCTTCTACATTACACCAAATTACTGTGGGCTAAAATTCATGTTTTTTTACTGTGGGCTATCTATTTTCATCATCCAATGGATTAGATCTATCCATACAACTGCTATAGAGTCTTCCAAAACCTCTAGATTTCCCTGAATATTTCTCGAATCCATTCAGGTACTAGAACACTATATGAAGTGCGACATATGTGAAGATGCCAACAAGTAATACCCAAATATAAATGAATGTCCCGACCTCCCTGCAGCTCCAAGCAGTCGGAAGGATCGGTCAAGTAACATCGTGAACTGCAATGGACAGAGCTAAATTGCACTTTTTTCTTTCTCTCGACTACTTGACTGTGAGCAATATCAGAACAATGAGTGATGTCATGTTATAGAGAAGACCACCTTGTACCGCTTGGCAGGATAATTTCGCGCGCTGTCGAGGGTCGTGCAGAGGTTAGTTGGCCAGAGACCACCAGGTGGGGCCAGCCAGCCCCATCGCTCGGTGTTTAGGCATCATGCAGATATAGCTGACTTTGTGGTACTTTTATATTCACGAGCATTGTCAGGGCTACAGCTCGAACTCCATGACCATGAGGCCATCTCCACCGCGTGACCCCAAAACGTCTGGGTTTGTCCGTTTGAAGTTAAACGGACAAATAAGACGACCCAACGCGCAACACTATTCGTAAAAAATGTCCGTTTCTGGTCCGTCTCGCCCCATCCTGGGAGCAAAGTTAGGCCGGATTTGCGTCTGGGACGGACACGAGCGGACGATTCTCAGCGTGGTCCTTGTCCGGCTGTGTCCTTTGCATGTGACGCCTGGCCCACCTGTCATTGAAACCAGATGGGTCCAACTGCCCACCCACCCGTCCCTCTCTCTCTCCCCCTTTTTCTCTCTCCCTCCCCTTTTGCAGCCGGCGGCCACCTCCACGCACGGGAACTCGAAGGCAAGCAGCAGCTGCAGCACCGGGGCGCGGGCACGACGCGGTGGCGCGGCGCAGAGCGCGAGTGCGGTAGGGCGGGCGCAGGACGCGGGACGCAGTCGGGGCGAGGCGCGACTGCTGCAGCAGCA